TCATATCTTTGCATGTTTATTAATTACATCAACTTGATTATTTTGACACATACAAAACATAAGGGCTCAACAAGATATATTATAAGCCAACTCTTTTTTAGTCCTTTAAAAGGTTGAATGGCAAGCATCTGGTACCAACCCTTATGCAACTCTATCCATTCTAAAAAATGGGGTTGAGTCAAGTCTTCCCACAAATCATAGAAGTCAGGTCTTCCCACAAATCGGATTGGTATAGGGATGTTTAGAGTCTACTTGATTTTGTCAGATCGATTGTTGTGTTGGGTGGAAGCTGATGCAATCATCAAATACTTAACATCAACCATCGATTGTGCCACCTCATACTTCTCTTTGCCTCATGTTCTTTCTCTTTGTTCTATTCTTAAATTGCATACTAAAAAAAAAAAAAAAGGTTGATTGTTGAGTCTTTGCTTGAGTTCCATATGCATAGGATATCACCATTTTTTTGCTTCAAAGAAAATATAGACGACTGCAAAGTATGTGAATGGTTTCTGCAAAGTATGTTGAATGGTTTCTTGTAATTTGAAAAGTATTACCCAATATTTAATTTCAGGTCCTTTATTCAGGGCACTATCCTCCACAATATTAATGGAATTATTTATGTTTAGGCAACCTCCATTACATTATCTTCCATACCAAAATATAATACGTAATTATGTTCTAATTATAATTGATTAAAAAAGAAAACCCACCTTGAAAAGACATTTCGACCAACCTAATTATACTTTCTTGACATGTTTTAATATTTTCTTACAATTAATTTCATAAGTATCTTTTGAGTGCCCAAAGAGACTTCACACGATATTTTTATGATTAACTTCTCATTAAATTTCTAGATTATGCATTCAATGATCTATTAGAATATAGTTTTTCTATACTATTCAAAAGAAAACCTTTTTCAAGCAACTCACTTGCACTTTCTAATAGATGTAATTAGTTGCCTTAAATTAAATTAATAATTCGAATTTGCAATTGATATGATATGGATTCTCAATAAACTAAATTCAATTGAAATGTGTAAAATTAATTTGATATTAGTTTTTAATACAATTAAACAGTTTAATTTGAGTAAATTATTTCGCATAAAATTAACTTAATACTACATTTTTCAATTTTTCATTTTTTTTATGGTTACACACGTTTTGTAGTAAGAGAAAATAAAAAATGAAAATCTAAAATCTGTCTCCCATCGATTGTATATCTTCTCCTTTTTGTAACAGGAGGGCTAAAATGTAAAAGGGCAAAGCACTTAAATCAATCTCCCTCTCTCGTCTCCCTCCCGACATTAGGGTTTCAATTCTTTCTTCAAACATCAGTTCCCTTCACTTGCAAGTGTAATTTACTCATTCTCTACAAATATGTCAATTTTAATTCTGATTTGAACACCACTTTGTTTTCTTTTTAATCTCTCTTATTGGTAATAATTAAAAAAAATTTGCTTCCTGATCCAATGACTACTACTGTTTCCAAAGATATGCATACTGGATGTGTTAAGTTATTTGTTGACAGAATTTGTTTTTTGTTTGGTGAATTTGTTTAGTTACACAGTGTATAATTGTAATGTATGATGGGAAAGCTGTATTCGAGATGAAATTTGTATGCTCTTAGTTGGCTCCTCTTGCAAGCTGTAGCACGTGAAAGCAAGCGTGACTTGTAGTTGTGGGGGGGGTAGAAAATAGCTAAGACGGGGTCGCTGGGTTGTGTGGCTGCAAGGCCACATGGGTCAAACACAACCAGTAGGGGACTGGTCTATGGGTCCGCATGAGCCTTATTGGCAAACTAATTCGAGTTTCTCCCACCTCCATCGCATGGGATTTTCATTTTCAATCTGAAGGTGAAGGTCTGCCATATGGTTCACATGACATATCGGTTGTGTGTCTCTACATCATCAAAGAGTAAAGAAAGCAAGAACTGGGTGAGAGGCAATCAGCTTATCGTCATCAATATTCAGCATCTGATAGTGCTGGGCTATTTTTAAGTAGCCCTTCTGACCTTTCACAGGCTCCTCAGTGGTGTCCTCCAACAATACAGGAAATCAGCATTGATAATTATGAAGCTCCAGCAAGGAGAGGTAATATTGTATTATGGTTATTGTATCTTTTTGTTATTGATGTTCAATTTCAAGGGTATTTCTATTGCTACCTGGATACTGCTTCATTTTTATATTTGTTTAGATGTATTATATATCTAGGAAATGATTGAGCATCTATATAAGGTCTTAAGCTGGGCATCACATATTAACAAGAGATGTAACAAGTTTGAAGTATTTCAGGGTTGACATTAATGATCATTTTCCCTGTGTCTAATTGAAATTTTTTTTCTGAAAGCGTGTGTAGATATATGTATTTTCCGAATGTTGGATTTTTCCTTATTTTGGCACTAATGAATTAAAGAAAATCCAAACTTATGGGATAGAGATAATAAATCAAATTATCTACAATAAAATTATATTTGTTCAATACACTATCGTCAATATGACTAGGAATTGTGAGTAAAGGATATAAAAATACAAAGGAAATTGCGAAAACAGAAAAGTTTATTTATTAATTTAATGAAATCCAACATTGAGAACCAAAGTTAATTAAACTTTTAAAATTATACACAATAATTAGATAAATAAAAATAATTTATAAATACCAGAAATAATCTGAAAGCAAAATGACTTGTACTGGATTTGCACTACATATAGATATGATCAAGAAACTCTTCCTGAATTTGGATTTGGCTTTTTTTTTTTGTTTGTTACTTCAATGCCTTCTTTTTCTTTTTAAGAAACATATATGTATAGAATATAGAGCACCACTCCTCATTCTCAAAATAAATAATAATTTTTTTTTTTTTTTATTGCTCCCTTATGTGCTACTTTTCTTTCTTATAATATCCCCCACACCCCCAAGAAGAAAGGATAATTGGCTTTGTTCCTCTTGTTGGAATACTCGGCATGGTTGAATTTCTAAAATATTTAAAGGATTTCATTGATCCAAATACAAGGTTTCTCTTATTCTTCTTTTAGCTTCAGGTACTAAACTAAGATGAAATTTGGAAACTTTATCACAATTTTTTATTTACTTTACTTTCAGTTAATTTCATGGACTCAGTGCTGGGTAGTGTGTCTTTTGTTATGTTATATAAACTTCTGAAAAAACATTAATTAGCAAGGATTATTAACTTGTTGTATGACTCTTTTTAGCAATGTGAACTTGCATGAATACAGTTAGTCAAAGAAGGTACCAGTTTCCATTGTTTTGATGATGAAACTTCTTACCTTTTCTGTTTCGATAAGAATACAAAAACTATTGCCCCTGTTTGTTTCACTTTTTTGAATCATTTTTCTTTTATTCTATTTGGATTAAAAACAGAATATGTGTTTGTTTATTTATTGGATATTATTCTGAAAATTAATTCGAATCAAATAGATTTTTTTTATTGAAAATAAAGAGAGCCGGGGGGGTGTGGGGGGCGGGGACGGTGTTTGTTGTGTGGTGTTTAGTTAAATTCACAATGTAAGGGGTTAAAAACAATTTTAATATTTTCAGAAAATGTATCAAACAACTATTCAGCATTTTATCCAACTCTGATATAATTTTTAGATATTATATCAAACACATTCTCAAAATCTTTCCTATTCGATTTAATCCAACTCAACTCAACTTAAAATAGTTTCGAAAAAAGAAAAATAACATTTTTCAAATAATCTACCAAACATGCCCATTAATTTCAAACAAGGCAATATTTTGCTACAACAACTTTTTGAAATATTTTGGTGAGATAGCATATTTTATTATTCTCATGTTTTCAACAGAAGAAATAATATATTATGTTGTAAGTGATTGTGATGTCTACTGAAGATGGTTTTATATATGTACAATCCTAAAGTGATATTACCCTTTACTTTTTCTTAGTTCTACATTCTTTTTAATGATGAGCCAAATCTTATTGTAGGATTTAAGATTGATTGTAACTGTTCATTTATCTGGCTGCTGTTCTGATTTTAGCCAAAAATAACCAATAATCTCGATTATTATTTTCCTTTTTGCTATTATTGTTGTTTCCATTTACTTGTATTAACTTTTTGTTGCTTCTTTTTCTGGTTAGATCCAGTTCTTAGGCAATGTTCTTTTACACCCACCATTGAGGTACTTTTATCCTTGTCTTTTCTTTTCCTTTTAATTTGATATGTTTCCTGTCATTTGTATTCCTTAGTGGCTTTAAATTTTTTTAGGGAATGTCAGCAAATGCAGATAGCAGAGGCTCCACATCATCTCACTCAGACAGTAGTGAGTCTGAGCCGAAAGCCAAGTCATGTGTATCCTCCCATCGCAACTTTTCAAGTCGTCTTTCCTTTATGTCCAAACCTGTTTACCCCTTGTCCTTTCTGGCCCAACCTTCTGTTAGAGAAACTACTAACTCTGCAGCTACCCTGTTTCTAGACTATGATGCTTCCACTCCACAAAGGGAGGCCCCTCGTTGGAGTAGTGCCAGTAGCAGCACAGACTTTGCTGATATTTCAGAGCCGATTGAGTCTGAAAGTTATGGTCGATCACATATTCCATCAGATGGTTTCAAATGTGGATTGTGTGAACGATTTCTCTCACAAAGATCACCTTGGAGTTCTCGTAGGATTGTGAGAAGTGGAGACATGCCAGTTGTTGGGGTTCTTTCATGTTGTCATGTTTTCCATGCAGAATGCTTGGAGCAGGCAACACCTAAGACACATAGAGGTGACCCTCCTTGCCCGCTTTGTGTCAGATTGCAAGAGGAAAACTCCCCTGATCAACAAGTTTTTTCAAGGCTTAAAAATGGTTTTTCAAGGCCTAGACCGTCCTTTGAGGATGGGCAGTCAAGGCCTTGGGGCTGTGGACAGGTAGGAGAATGTGTTGAAAGGGCTTTGCTTGTACCTCCACGTAATAATACTATGTTGTTGCTTAACCGAAGTCACATTAAGAAGAACCTTTCTTTGAAGGGCAATTCAAGTAAAGAATTTCCAGGTAAGCTGAGGAAAACTGGCTCATACTCTTCACAGTTGTTCAGTGGAAAGTCAGTTGACCAGGGAACAGTAGGTTGTTCAAAGACAACAGCAGGCCCTAGTATGAAAAGATGATACTAATCCTGTAGATGATTAGGAAAGTCAAATTGGTTCTCTTAGCGATGATTTTTCTACCTCCGGTTTGTTGTGTTTAAGTTCTTCATTGGGCAAATAGATTTCTGGTGAATGAGATTGGATACCTACGTGTGCATAGATAATGATTTTCCACTACCAGTGTGTTTAAATCAAAGTTTGAAGTAGTCTATTGCATATTTTACAGTGTGTATCTTTTGCGCTTGGTCATGATAGATGTAAACATTTCAGAGTTCAAACTAGGAAGTACGATTTTTATCATTCTTTTCATTGACATGGAGCATGTTCAGTCATCTATACTCAACCCTTCCCCAAGTGAAAATGGATTTGATAAAGGACTGTTGTATAGACAAATAGGATTTGTATATCAGCCCATTTTCATCTACTAATACGCACACATTCGTAGCCCCTGAAGTGTCAAGCCATTGGAGTCATTTAATTGTTGTGGGAATAGTGTTGTAACATGTCTACTTAGATCCTTTAACTGGAGATTCCAGATGGGAATTTGGTATCATTCGTTTATGGGTTGAGTTACTATCCAATCCAATGGGTTTATATTATTATTCGTCATGATTTATAAAATTCAATAAATAATGATATTTGAAAAGGGATCACAAAAAATAAACAACTTGGCTACTTGTGCAAGTATTTCTATTAAGGGCTACAAGTTGATTATGAACCGGAAGCAGACAGAGAATCAGAAACCAAGAAATGAGTGTGCCCGCATAGTAGATGAAGACAAAACTGAAGAAAATGAAATATCTTATATTTGCGTATGGTATTGTATTGTATGGGTGGTGGGACATTGGAGGGTAAAGCCTAAAAGCTGAAAGATTCCTGAGCCTTAAGTTAAATCAAATATATTTGCCCCCACAATTTTATCTTGAATTATATAATATTTTATTATAGGGATATATTATATTAATGGAAAGAAGGATAACCTCGAAGATTACTGAAAATATTTAGAAAATTTGTTTGGTTGGTTCAAATAAATTGGTAAATAATATGTTTGGTTGGGAGGATAAATGGATGGGTATATTATATAGATTACTAAATTGTCCTCCTTTTTAAATATTAATATAATAGTTTTTTATTATTATTTCTTTTAACCCTTACATTTGAAATTTCGCTAGAACACTCCAGCAATATAAAATTTTAATTTGTAGTAAAATCACCCCCACCTACCCCAAGCCATTGCCAGCAGCTAGCCACCATCACCGACCGTCGCTAGCAGTCGACAGAATGGTGCACGTGCATCGGCAAATCTGAAAATGGCCATGGATCACAAATTTGTGGCTGGAAAATGGCCAGATCTATGGCTATTTCACAGCCAAAGATGTGGTCATGAAACAGCCATAAAAAGGCCAGATTTGGCTGTTTTTAGCCATGGATCTGTAATTTATGGCCGGAAAAGGCCTTACTGGTGCATAACCAGCCAAATCTAGTGGATCGTGCACCATTACGGCAACTGATGCTAGCGATTGGTGATGGTGAGTCATGGCTGGCAATGGTCTTGGGTGGTTGGGGGTATTTTGTTAACTTTTAAACTTTTTTGTGGTTGGAGTGTTTTAGCTAATTTCTCAAATGTAGGGGGCTTGGGTAATTGTTATTTGGTAGACATTTGAGGGTAATTGTATCTAAAATGGTTTTTAATTAAGGGCAAAATGGGAAGAAAAATTATATTACCTCGATAATGTTTTAATAACACCCCCTAACAAGGTAACAAGATTACCCCCCACATTACCAGCAGTAAACACTGTTTGCAATAAAAGATTACCGTAATATTTTATTACTTGCAAACCAAACATAGGAATCTTGCAAAATAAACGAATATTACCCTCGTTATCTTATTTGCCCCCGATCCAAACGGCCTCATAAGGAAATGTTATATTAATGGAAAGATATATCATCTTGAAGATTATTGTGAATATTTAAGAAATGTGTTTGGTTGGTTCGAATAAATTAGTTAATAATATATTTGGTTGTGAGGATAAATTGGTGGATTTGCTATATAGATTACTAAATTACCCTCATTTTTAAATATTAATATAATTTTATTTTTTGAATCATTTTTTTAACCGCCTATATTTAAAATTTTGCAAAAACACCACAACCGTATAAAACTNCGGAAGCAGACAGAGAACCAGAAACCGGGAAATTAGTGTGCCCGCATAGGAGATGAAGACAAAACTGAAGAAAATAAAATTTCTTGTATTTGCGTATGGTATTGTATTGTATGGGTGGTGGGACATTGGAGGGTAAAGCCTAAAAGCTGAAAGATTCCTGAGCCTTAAGTTAAATCAAATATATTTGCCCCCACAATTTTATCTTGAATTATATAATATTTTATTATAGGGATATATTATATTAATGGAAAGAAGGATAACCTCGAAGATTACTGAAAATATTTAGAAAATTTGTTTGGTTGGTTCAAATAAATTGGTAAATAATATGTTTGGTTGGGAGGATAAATGGATGGGTATATTATATAGATTACTAAATTGTCCTCCTTTTTAAATATTAATATAATAGTTTTTTATTATTATTTCTTTTAACCCTTACATTTGAAATTTCGCTAGAACACTCCAGCAATATAAAATTTTAATTTGTAGTAAAATCACCCCCACCTACCCCAAGCCATTGCCAGCAGCTAGCCACCATCACCGACCGTCGCTAGCAGTCGACAGAATGGTGCACGTGCATCGGCAAATCTGAAAATGGCCATGGATCACAAATTTGTGGCTGGAAAATGGCCAGATCTATGGCTATTTCACAGCCAAAGATGTGGTCATGAAACAGCCATAAAAAGGCCAGATTTGGCTGTTTTTAGCCATGGATCTGTAATTTATGGCCGGAAAAGGCCTTACTGGTGCATAACCAGCCAAATCTAGTGGATCGTGCACCATTACGGCAACTGATGCTAGCGATTGGTGATGGTGAGTCATGGCTGGCAATGGTCTTGGGTGGTTGGGGGTATTTTGTTAACTTTTAAACTTTTTTGTGGTTGGAGTGTTTTAGCTAATTTCTCAAATGTAGGGGGCTTGGGTAATTGTTATTTGGTAGACATTTGAGGGTAATTGTATCTAAAATGGTTTTTAATTAAGGGCAAAATGGGAAGAAAAATTATATTACCTCGATAATGTTTTAATAACACCCCCTAACAAGGTAACAAGATTACCCCCCACATTACCAGCAGTAAACACTGTTTGCAATAAAAGATTACCGTAATATTTTATTACTTGCAAACCAAACATAGGAATCTTGCAAAATAAACGAATATTACCCTCGTTATCTTATTTGCCCCCGATCCAAACGGCCTCATAAGGAAATGTTATATTAATGGAAAGATATATCATCTTGAAGATTATTGTGAATATTTAAGAAATGTGTTTGGTTGGTTCGAATAAATTAGTTAATAATATATTTGGTTGTGAGGATAAATTGGTGGATTTGCTATATAGATTACTAAATTACCCTCATTTTTAAATATTAATATAATTTTATTTTTTGAATCATTTTTTTAACCGCCTATATTTAAAATTTTGCAAAAACACCACAACCGTATAAAACTTTAATTTGTTGTAAAATCACTTCCACCCATCCCAAGCAATTGCCGACAGCCAACCACCACTGCCGGTCGCCGCCGGCAGTCTACGAAATGGCACACGACTAGTCAAATATGGCCAATTGTGCGTCAACAAAGCCATTTCCCGCCATGGATCACAAATTCATGGCCTTTTCATAGCCAAAGATGTGGTCGTGAAATAGTCATATTTGTGGCCATTTCAGGACCACATATTTAGCCGTGAAACGACCATAGAAATGGACAAATTTAGCCAGAAAATATCTTATCGACGCGCGACCGATGATCTAGCCAGTCATGCGCCATTACGGCGACTGACGCCGATGTTGGTAAGTAATGACCGACGATGGTCTTGGGTGGCTGGGGATATTTTGTTAGTTTTTAAACTTTTTTTATGACTGTGGTGTTTTAGTTAATTTCTCAAATATAGGGCGGTTGGGTAATTGTTATTTGGTAGATATTTGAGAGCAATTGTGTCCGAAATGGTATTTAATTAAGGCAAAATAGGTATAAAAATCAAATTACTCGGTAAAGTTTTAATAACATCCTTGGGGGAGGGTATCGGATTACTCCCCACATTACCAATAGTAAACACTATTTACAATAAAAGATTACCGTAATATTTTATTACTTGCAAACCAAAATATTGCAAAATAAACGAAAATTACCCCAATTATCTTATATACCCCCGATCCAAACGCACCTACTTGTATGCAATTCCTACATTCTTACTATTACTTTCCCAAATTAGACCATGCATTCTTATTTCTTAATAATTTCGTTATTTTGGGCATCATGATTAATCATTAATGGATGTATAAATGTTCAAAGATTGCACTGTATTAGTAATAAATAAGGAAAAGTAAATAAAATAGGTGTTCAAGTGTGAAAACGAAAAATCATTTGACAAAAGTTTAAAACCGAGAAAGATCATTATCAAAATTGGTCCTCCACACTCAGTCCTTGAGTAAAAATCAAAGGACAAGCATGTAACATGTTGCATGCTTGCAGTGGTGTAAATCGCCATACAAGTAATTATCATGGACCAACTTGTGTTTTTAGAACATGAGGTTCACCGTCACTTCTTAAATGAAAAAAAAAAGAAAAAACACTCGAAAGGAATTAATATTTGTAGGCTGACCATCGTCTTCCCCACAATCATGTGATGTGCTGCAATTACCCCAGACAATTGCACATTGTACCAACACCATGATTCAACTTGGATACTTCGTGGGGTGATTGCCAGTCCTTTTGAAAACATGACCAATCTACAATTAGGGGCCTGCTCACATTACACTGCCCGTGTTCTAGTCATTGTCATTTTCTATCCGTATGTCATAATGCCACTTACCCTACAATTGTCAGATAAATCTGAGATGGTGACACTTAATTCAACTACATCCACCAAGTCTACTAGTGAATTTTGAGAGCTGTTTCTTGCAGTTGCAGCCATGGGGTATCGACGGTGGTAAAGGAGGTGCCCCATTTGAGCCAGTACTAAAGCCTGGTAATAAATTGCAG